GGATTGTCCATATTAAACATCTGTGTTTGATTTTTGCCTAAATCTTTTCTTTCAATAAAAATCGATTATTATCAGAAACTGAGAATCAAGGCAAAATTGCTGCCGTAGGGATAGTATTGGATCCTTTATGATCATTGCCAGGGGATTATTAGGTTTTTGCATATTTTGCATATTTTAAGCTTCAGAACTTCATACAAAATATGCAAATCTGCTGCTGATTTGCTAGGTTGCTAACTGTACACAAGTAGATACCTAGCAAATATTACTTACCTGTTTGATATCTCTAATAAGCTTCTCGAGAGTAGCGCCACTATCAACTTTCTTGTGCTTATTTTTCTTGTTTTTACTTTTATTGTTGCTCTCCTCATTAAAAGTGAGCGTTTCAAATGTTATTTCATCTTCATCAGTTTTCACCCTTCGCGCTTCAACGCGAGGTTCTTCGACGTCACTGGGAGTACTAGCTTGACGACGTCGCCTCTGCAAAGCGGGGTTGCCGCACCCTGTAAATATTTTTTGCGAGACCTCTACCCCATTCTCTTGAAAAATCATCACAGCTTCAGAAATTTTTATATTAATAGGCTCTACGACCATTTCTATATTAAAAGCACCTGTAATACGGTCCGCTACCTTATCTAATGCATCTGGAAACCGACAAGATTAATATACTAAGCCGACAATATTTCTGATGAGCAACTTACCCACAAAGTTATTCCACTGGTTATCTAAAAGTATATGGTTTTCTAAACAACTTTTCAAAATCGATAGGCAATACGGCGAACAACTTTTTGTACCCTTTATCCCAAGACATTTATCACAATGTTGCATTCGAGCCAATTCATTCCCGCACCTCTCCGTCGGCGTTAAGGAGCCCATGTTTCGAACGACATCGGCACCGGCTGCTAAGGCTTTGTAAAACGCTCGCGTAGCTACGAACGATCGTCTCAATTGTATTCCGAGTTTGTGCGGGATGTCGCCAAACGGTTTCAAATCGGTCATATGTTCGGCTACACATTCTAAATATCTGTCGTCGAACTGATATTGTGCATTAATTACGGTGAACATGCGTTGATACAGGATTCCAAAGAAGGTATCTAAGGCTTCCGCTAGTCGTACGCGACCGCTATTATAATATCTCTCTAATTCTTCGAAAAAATCCGTAAATACAAAAGAATGCTGTAAGTAGATCACACCGTAAGTTTTCTTGAACATTTCGTGAAACTCCCGTTTTGAATTGTTCATAAGATTCCTGAAGAATTCTGAAACAAAAAGAAAAAAGTGAGGTAGTTACTTAGTAAAACACTATATGTATAGTAGGTAGTTAAGTGAAGTGTTACAAACATGTTACGCTTGATTTCCATATTTCTCTTAGTTCTGTTTGGAAATGGCATAGGAAGCTATGGTAATAACAAAAGATTCTTGAAGATGTAATGCTTGTGAAATGTAACAAAGTTTGGTACGCATGCAACAAGTGCCGTAATTCCGAAGCATCATTCAGCTTGGGGTTTGTATTTAAGGTAATTAGAACCTTAATTTCAATTTAATTTGTTTAATCGATCGCTTGTTGCGTGGTGTGTTTTATCTGGGCCTGGATGCCTATATTTGTTTCAGCTGATTGGATTGATTGATGTTGAATACATTTTGTGCGTGCGGGCGTGTTGTAACAGTTGGGAAATTCAATTTTACTTAATTCGTACGCCATCTATTGATTGGTATAAAATTTCAATATTATTTAGCAATTTCTTCTAAATTTATTTTGCATTTTAATAAGTTTCTCACTAGAGGGAGATAGGAAAAAAGGTTCTTCGTAGTTCGTACTCATCGATATAATACGTTTCTACCTACTTGTATCGTAGCACGTTGCTTGAAAGGTGGTTTTCATGTAGTGTATTAATCGACAATTTGGTCGGATTATTTGAGCCATCCTTATTAAACTAATATTGGAGAAGCCGTATTTTGCCATTTGGAAGGTCTTTCTTACAATATTGTATGATGCGGATTGTTCCGGATTAAAGAAGCACGTATCTTTGGAACGCCCGAATTATATCTCGGCTCAGGGTAAGCCTGTTAATCCTTTAACTTCTTTTATTGAGTTACGATTCTGTTTAAGCTGTTTGTTTATTCTGAGTCGTTTGCTACTCTCTTTTGTTTTGCCTGTATTTGGATACATTGATTGGTCAAGTAACGATTAAGTTTGGGGAAGAATCACTATCCTGCAAGTCTATTAGAGATAACTACGACATTCGATTATTGTATTTGTGGGTAAACTACAACCAGCGTACCTAGTGTCGAACCAATCCTACGTGGACGACTTCGTTGAGCAATCGTTAAACCCATATCGTCTGCCTACGCCTTAAATGGAGACAACTACATGTTCATAGTGGTATGTTTTTGTACAGGGTGGCCAAATAAGAATGCGAGGTACTGTATCTGGGAACCTGTCCATCGTAGAGGCTTGCGGTAAAAAAATTTATTACTAAAACGGCGACGAGAAAAACCTGGAAAATATTTTTAAGTTTCTGCAATGGCCGCTAGGGGGCGTAACTGCAATCTGAAATCCAAAAAAGTGAGTTTTCTGTGAATTCCGCTGTATTAACCTAACAAAAAAATGTCCGATCTAAGAAGTTGACGATAATCTGAACCTTTTTTGTTTTGACAATTTTTCCTGTATCTCTAAAAATGAAGTGGTGGGGGGTATTCAAAGGTTTTCGTAAAGAACACCATGTATCTTCGAAACGACTGAGTCGATATTAACAAACTCAGGTTAATTGAAAAGAGTTATTCTTCGGCTACAATAAGCATATCGCCGCTTGAGGGCTTTTTTCGACATTCTGACAGAAATGATTAATTTTCTAAAAAAAATTAAATGCACTGGTTCGACTTTTTTTTCATAAAAAAGTAGCTAAATGATGCGTAAACAAACTCGCGAAAACCGCACTCGATATCTTGTTCCTAACTTAAAATTTAGGCCAAAGAAAATGTTATACCCTCAGAATTTAATTTTTCCGGAATTATTTTTATTATATAATTTGTGGCCCTAAGGTGGATCGATTTAAAAAATAAAGCTTTTAATGCCGCCGTAAATGCCCAAAATGCTGGCCATCACGATATAAAAATATATATATATCTCAAGATATCGAGATGCTGTTTTCGCGAGTTTGTTTAGGCATAATTTAGCTACTTTTTCATGAAAAAAAAATCGAACCAATGCATTTAATTTTTTTGAGAAAATTAAACATTTCTGTCGGAATGTCGAAAAAAGCCCTCAAGCGGTGATTTGTGAAATTAACAAAACTTTAAATAGTATAATATTTGTAGCTAAAGAATAGCTCTTTTGAACTAACCCGAGTTTGTTTAAATCGGCTCAGCCGGTTCGAAGATACAGGGTGTTCTTTACGGAAACCTTTGAATACCCCCCACCACTTAATTTTTCGAGATACAGGAAAAATTGTCAAACAAAAAAGGTTCAGATTATCGTCAACTTCAAAGACCGGACATTTTTTTGTTAGGTTAATATAGCGGAATTCACAGAAAAATCACTGTTTTAGATTCCAGATTGCAGTTATGCCCCCTAGCGGCCATTTCCAAAACTTAAAAATATTTTCCAGGTTTTCTCGTGGCCGTTTTAGTAATAAATTTTTTTACTGCAAGCCTCTACGATGGACAGGTTCCCAGATACAGTACCTCGCATTCTTATTTGGCCACCCTGTACATACATCAAGCTTCACTTGGCCCTATTTAAGCTCATACCTTTTAACGTAATTAATTCCACGTTAATGTCCTTTGTGCGTGGATAACTTTTGTTGTAGATCTGGACCGTCTGTATAAGCGCTTACACCGCCGAGAATCTACTTTGGATTTGCTTCATCCTTCGGTAAGTGATATTTTGGTGATCTGTATCTTTAATACTGCGTTTAATATTAACCCTTGCATGGTGTTCTTTGTTTTTGGATTTAAAGCTAATTTATTGGAATTTTTATAAATTTGTCAGAAATTAAAATTGCAAACATCCAGTGGCGTAGCTAGGCCTTTTTAGGGAGGGATGCAGCCCCCCCCCCAATTCTGTATCTAGCCCCCCCTTTATATTTTTAACAGTTTTTATTATAAGCGTCTTTCGCAAAAAACCAAAAAAATAAAAATACCTAAAAATCTTACTTACACAGGCATGATTTATTAAAAGGTAATGTTCCTACATTTATAATTTGTTTGTCTTAGAGTCTAAATGTTTAAAATGGAACAGTTTTGCTGTTTTTGTCATGTTCAACTGAAGTTTTTCTCATCAACCCCCTAAATATGATCTTCCATCATGCTTCTAGCTTACTGGCCTTGGTAACGTGCTTAAATTCCATTGTCTTGACTCTTGATGAAAGTGTTGTCCTTGTTATTACCAAAAAGCTCCCACATTATCCTTAAATGAATCTAAATGAGAATGTAACCTGTGCATCTTTAGAGACATTCTATACCCGATGATGCAAAACCAAATCCTGTCAGCTCGTCATATCTTTCAGCTCTATGGTTTCCCAGGAACCACTGAACGGGAGACCATGGACTATTGCCTTAAAACTGTTCCAGGATTTATTTGAGGGAAAACAAAGACTCCAGCTTTAATTTTCGCCCCTGAATGCTTTCAATCAAATCGCTATAACTTTTGTAGAAGCAAATATTTTCGATGTCTAATCGCACTTTTTATTTATTTTTGCTTATTATAGTCAGAATATATTAAGTAAATCCCATGCGCAAAAAAAATACCTATTTTTGTTGACCAGTGTTAAAGGTTAGAATGGTCGGCATCTGTTTTTAGCAAGTTTTTACAAATTTATTCATAAATTTTAATCTCACTTTGGCCGGCTGGTTGGTTGGTTGGCTGGCTGGCTGGCAGGCAGCAAATGAGTAGATGAACGTGAGTAGGGCAATGTTTTAGCTGCCGTAGCTGTAAAAATGTAAAACTTTTTTGAAAACTTAGCAACGGCCAGTTCTCCATAGAAAGACGAAGATTCAGAAAACTTTCCATAATCAAGCCCTTACTCTGATAGCAATTCCAAATTGATTGGAAGAGTTGTTTACACCACAAAAAAGTCCCAGAATACAGTAGACTTTCACAAAGCCAAAGAGCGTAGGTATAGTCAGGTCTTGAAAATCACCCCAAAACAACTTGCTTGAGACCGAACGGAAAACAATTCATTCTAATAGAACCAAACCAATACAATAAAAGTTAACGCAGTTGCGTAGAATCGTCTGGAGACGGGGTTAGGGGAATGAAATACAAATTTATATTGCAAGATTAGTGACCGTTACTCGTTACCAAGTGCAAGGGACCAATAGACGCCAGCAACGAGAATTCAAAGGTGAAAAATCTCCCGGGCAAAGTATGCGTGGAAGAAACATAAAAAGTTCGTGGGTCTGAATTGGAATAAGGCCATATTTTAATAATAATAATAATAATGTCTTTTATTAGCTACATTACAACTGAATCCATACATATATAAAGTACAAAAAAAAACAACATTCTGCGTGCGTTTTATTCCCGTGAATAAAATTGTCTTAATTGAATATTCAGAAATAAGATACCTAATGCAGTTTTAGTATAAACAACATTCCGATAAAGACGATGCGCTTTAGTGATGCGCGCATGCACACTCCACTGTTAACAATACGATTAATATTAACTTCCCCCTTGCAAGTAAAGTGATATTATTGGCCGGCCCGTGTGGCGCAGTTCAGTTAAAGCTGGACTGTGGTGCTAAGTGTCCCTGGTTCGAATCCGGGTTCGGGCATGGATATTTGTAAATGTATAGTGGGTTGGGTTGGTAGAGCAGCATTGGATGAAACCCCGCCCACTCAAGAATAAAGGCAAAATAAAATAAATAAATATTCTTAAATTGCGACCATATAAAGTTACACTGTAGAGGCGCATTGTCCGTACGTTCGGTCCTCTCATTTCGAACACAACGCACTGTGAGACGTTTAAATCGCATTTAAAGTGGCATTTTGCTCACGAACAACAACTCGAATTATATCTTCGAGAATTTGACGCTAGTTTTGAACGCGGTCGAGATAAATACAAGCTTCATTAATCTGAAAATTTCCATACAACGAGAGGAAATCTTGTACGAGAGCAAGTCGCAAAAGGGTATCTCCCAAAGCGATCCAGTTCTCAATTTTTCTTGGAGGACGCTTTCTTTTTCAAAAGAGAGAGAGCTCGATATCTGTAAATTATTTAAATTTTATTTGAATTGCGTAAAGTATTAGTCGGTTACCT